ACTGTATATTAGCAGTAAAAGCTACTTGAAAACTGACTCAGAGCTAATCTGTTCGGCTGTTTCTTCTCTTAAACCACTGCAGGAGCTACTGCCATTAACATCTTACTTTAAACATAGGCTAGGAGCCTGAAGTGACCCAAATTAGATTTTTTCTTTATAATTTTTGTTTAATACGACTTGTATCTGATCTTTTCATAACAGTCTGAACGAAACGTTTTTTGTTTTTTCTTGGATATGTGGTATAAAATCATGTGTGACCCAAGTTCTGAACAGCCAGATGGCATTCATCATCTGACCTGAACATAATCGATACTCCACAAACGTCACTATTCTGTGTCCTGATATGTGCAAGCAGGAAGAAAAATAACAACCATAATGAAGATTAAGTTATGCTCCACCATTAAAATGAACATTTACTTTCACTTCTTCTTTTTCATAGCAGTTGGTAAAACACAGAACGCTGACGTTATTGCACTCTTTACTGACCAGACAGGACACTTTCAGGTCATTTACAGTTCACAGAGATCACATACAAGTCGCATATATTTGGAAGTGTGAACAACCTTAAAAAAAAAAATAAATGAAGTACAATTTCACAAAAAAATCAGATTTGGGTCACTTCATGCTGCAGTGTGAACGCAGCAGAAGACAACGTATCTCTTGATCACAGCTTCTGTGTTTTTTGTGTGTATGCTGTGTTTTCTCAAATACTCAATCTATTGTGGTAGATCATCTTTCACTCTGAGTCACGTTCTGCTTTAGGAGTTTTTCTCTCCACTATCGCTCCATGCATGCTCAGTGAGAGGGATTGTTGCTAAGTCAGCACTGCAATGAAAGCAGCTGTGGCTATAAGCCCTTTCAGGAGGACTAAATGCTGGAGGTCAATGACCCAAAGTAATCTAAAGGTTTCCAGAAGTACAAAACATTTTAACCAATTTTAATAATAAGACAAATTTGACTGCATTGTTTGGTAACTAGGATAAATTTGGAATAACTGAATTGCACAATTCAGTTACGTATTGTGTATAATTGGATTGAATTAGCTGGGTTTTTGGAAAGTTCCTTGATAAGTGAGTTATAAGTTAGCGCATTATAAACAAACTGAATGAAAGTAATAAAATAAACTGCAAACTTGGACACCTTATGGCTTTCTTCTTCTCACAACTCAATGAAAGTCAGATTTGTTATCCTGTCAATGGAGTAATGACTGAGCTCTTAGACCTTCTCAGAATAACTGAGTCTATAATCAAAATAAAGGTTCAATTATCCAGGTCAATTAACTGATTGGGAAACCTCTGACAAAAATTGGTTTCACTGGATTTCATTCAAGGCTACAACAGTTAAAGGGGAAGCCTATCATTTTTAAGCCAGGTTTTTATTTGGTAAAAATGACCTGATCATTTTCTTTCTACTTTAAAGTTTCCTGCAGTTTCTTCTTCATTTTCTGGCTAAGAAAAATGTTAAAGAAATAAATACATAAATTAAAACAACATAGAAATAGACTGCATTTTGGCAAACAGCAACCACAAGTTACAGGCATGCATGCTGAGGTGGTGATGTTATCATTTAGTCTGAGTAGTTTGCAAATAGCATGTGCAGATCGACCACAGAGCTGCAAATGATTGAAATCAGGGGTAGACGTTATTTTACATATATATAAATATATACATATATATATATAAACAGAACTTTTGCAGCAAATCTGTTCGATGCAGCATTCAAACACTAAACACTGTTTCTAAATTGGGCCTCTGATGATAAACCCTGACCTCTGCATATGTGACTTCCTCAGTCTTTGCAGCTGCTCTGGGTATTTTAATCAGTGAAGATCCTGAATTTCTGGTCCGCTTAGGCCTCACATCCGCATACACCATTTCCTACAGCAAGAGAATGAAAAAGTGTTGATTCTCAATCATTTCTTTGTCGTTACAGCAAAATTATTAAAAACAACTGTTGATTAAAAATTTTAATTTACCTCTGTGCTCACCGGGTCCTTGTAGATATAAGATGGTCTGTTCACACTCGCTACACGACTTGATGTGTCTAAAAACCATATGAGCCTCATTAGAGGAAGTGAAAAAATCTCAAAATACATTGAATGTTCAGAAATAGAGTGATGAGAGATCGTTTGCTCTCACCTATGTGGACTTCAAGTCTGCGAGCCGCTTTATGTCTACAAGAGGGAACATATGGAGCCACGATTAGATTTCTAAAATTGTTTTACTTCAAGTTTGTAGGATTCAAATAGACCACACTGGTTTTATTCGTTTATCTGGTAGATAATTCTTTTTAAGACAAGCTTAATAACTGCACCCTGATTCTTCTTAGCACCACTTATAATCAGAAAAAAGCCTCAAAATAAACACACTTTTAATTGCAGTAGGACAATCTCCCCACTTTTGCAAGTTTAATACTTTTTATATTTTATAAATGTAGGTAACTAAACAGAGTCATTCCACCACAACATGAGTACCAGTAAAAACAGGCCTACCTTCTGACATAGGTAAGGTAAGCTGCAGCCGTCAGGATCCCCAGAAGCAGCACAGCAGAGATGATGATCGCGCAAAGTTGCCCTGCTGGCATCGGTGTCTGGTTGGTTTTTTCTGAGACAGGATCGCCTAAAAGATGTCAAATAAAATTATTTAGTGTTAATAATGATCTGATGAGCACTCAGATCATATGTCAAAAATACACAAAGTCAAGAAGTTGAGTAGTTTCTCTAAGCTTATTTAGAATAGTTTATCATCTGATTAATGATTTGAAAGATTTCTTACCAGTAACAACAACAAGTTTGATGATTTCTTCATGTGATCCACTTGGGAATGTGGCTACAGAGCAGGTGTAATTCCCTGAATCTGTCATTTCCACATCTCTAATTTTCAGTGACTGTCCTGTAAGATTTATTCTTTCCTTTAGGGGAGAATCTTTTATATTCATTCCTTGCTCGGGGTTGAAAACAAGAATAGTTGTGGACTCAAATTCCCACTGAATCTGAGTAATATTTTCTGATTCTGGGGCTAACTGGCATTTCAAAATGACCTCTTTACCAACATATCCAGTCACTTTGAGTGTTTCTACCTGGAGATCTGTAAGAAAAAAAAAGTTAACATGCTGAAGAGCCGGATAGAGTAATTTGAATGAGTTTGCATTTCAAAGTTATGGTGTTATTTTTTTTTTTATTACTTGATAAAGTCTATTTTCTTTCTCAGAAAATAAAACAATATTTTTTTCTGTTAAAACATGAAGCCTTCAAAAAAACACTTAGGATATTTCATTTCTGTCAAGGAACTTCAGAAATGTTTATTTTAGTGTGAAACTCTTCAGGAATGTAATAAATCAAAATGTGTCTGAATTTTAAAATGGGAATCTCACCTGGAAATGATGTGATGAAAATTAGAGTTACAGCAAGGAGTCTGTTGCAGGTTCTCATTGCAGCGACTACACATCATAAAACACAATTACTGAAGTTAATTATGTTATTTTAACTTTATTGTCGCCTTTAAATCAACTCGGTAAAAACTTACCGTCGGTCCGTGGAGCGGAGACAGGAGCAAATTTAGAAATGTAAAATCATTTGAAGGCACAGCAGTAAAAAAGACTTTTAGGAAGCGGAACAAAACCTAAACGAGACCATAAAGCAAAGGTTCCTACAACAGCTCTGCCTATCCATTTCCCCAGAGAGTCCCAGTTGACCGAGATCATAAATAAAATCAGTGATAGCGCTGATCAAAGTAGTAACTACTTTTGACCACAAAGATGAGCACATTAATGCTACAGGAGTAATTTTACAATTTTCAAAGGTCTGACAAGATACTAACAATAAAAAGCAAATTTTAAAAAATCGCTCCCAAACTTATCTGACTGACCGCCTCATGTTTCTAAAGATTATCGACGGTAAACATGATTTCTGTCCTGCTCAACACTGACCTCTTGTGGTGAACTTCGTGTAAGCTTTCTGGACATACTGCTTGAATACACATAACCTTTATGGTGGTTTGAAACCCAACATGTGTGCCCACTCCACTACTGGTGTATTTTAATGAATAAAAAAAAAGAAGTTAAATATCAAGAATAGCTCACTAGCACAATTGTTACTAAGAATATTTTAACACACTTTTCTGATGTTTGCCAATAAATAAAAACTTAGAACCATACATCATCATTTTTTCATTCCATTGTGTTTTAAAGTGGCACAGGATCTAAATATGACACACTGAAGTTTTTAGTTTTAACCTGAAATTTGAGAGTTGGTGTCATTTAATCTTTGATCAGAATATGGCCTCACTTTGTTTTTGTTTCATTTTCAAATGAAGGAAAGTGAATAAATTTGTTTTCATAGGAAGATGAGACTTAGAGATAGCAAAAGAGCTGACACTATTCTCTCAGAGGCTAAGTTGAGAAAACTTTTACAGAAGGAAAAGAAGACAGTAAAAATGAATAAAAGTAGAAAGTAGTTTAATTTACACAAGGCACAACATATTTTCTGGTCAGTTAAATCTCTGGCCATCATTGCTTTCTTCTTCTTGGGTATTAGGTTCTCAGTGCTGTTGCACGTGCTTCGTCTGGATGAGGTTAACACTTACGAGTGGTCTCAGTGGTTGTGAAGCTTGCAGTGTTAGATGTTAATGGTTTTCCACACCTTTTGTCACAACGTTTGCTTCTTATAGGTCATTTATTTAAAAAAAATGCACAAAAGAACTCTTAGTCTTATGGTATTCACCTGTTACAATATAAAGTAACTTGATGTGTGATTTAAAATTCACAAATGGGTATGTGCTGGTCATTATGGATAATAAAAACAGTTAAATATCAGTAACACCTTACCAGTACAATTGTTATTCTAACACACGCTTTTCAGATTTTTGTCAGTGAATAAAAACTTAGAACCATACATCATTTTTTTCATTCCATTGTGTTTTTAAGTGACGCAGGATATAAATATGACACACTCAAGTTTTTATTTTTAACCTGAAATTTGAAAAAGTTAAAGTGGTGGGGAAACTTTGCATGGACACCGTGGCAGATAACTAGTTTTCTGTAAGATAAGCTCTTTCCCTGCCATCAACACAATGAACAGCACATACACAAGGTTGATTGACAGCACTCAAAACTCCCTTCGCTTGTATTTGACTAAGAGCGGTGCATTTCTTCAAATGGCAAAGAGGCACAGTTAAAAGGTGGGGGGCAGTTTAAACATATGTAAAAACAAAACCTAATAAAAAAAATTACATACTGGAGCTTTAATCCTATAGACTTGAAAACTGGTTCTGACCTCATCTGCTTAGATGTGTTTTTTCTCTAGATTACGGCAATTAACTTTTCTTTTAAACATAGAAAGTACTTCTGGATCACAGCTTCTTTTTTTGTGTGTGTGCTCTGTTTCTCAAATGCCCAGTCGGTTATGATCGGGCATTTGATCATAACGGCAGTTAAAATAACTGACAAATGAGAAGTAAATGCTGCTAATGCAGTTATTTTTAACTGCATTTGTCAGTTAAAATAAGATTAGGAATTAGAGCCATGATCTGCTGGAGATTTCTTACTGTTAAATCGAAGTTTCCTCTTTACCCTTGCTACAGTCATGCTCAGTAAGTCCTGTAACGTCAACGACATCATGCAAGCAACTGTCCTCTGTTGCTACATGCCATTGCAGGAAAAGTAAATGCTGCAAGTCAATGACTCATTACAATTTGCTGGGTTTCTGAAAATGGCAAATATTTTAATCAATTTCACTAATAAACCAAGTTTGCCTCAATTGTTAGACAATTAATTAATTTGGAATATATGTAACTGAATTGGAACCTGTTTGTGTAGTTGGATTTAATTACCTGGGTTTTTGGGAAGTGACTTGTTATAAATTAGTGCTTTATAAACAAACTAAAAAAATAATAGAATAATCTGCAAATGGGACATATTATGGATGTTAGCAATGGCTTTCTTCTCTTGCTCCAGTTGAGATTTGCAATGACTAAGCTGTGGATCTCTTAGACCTTCTCAGAATGGCTGAGTTTATAATTAAATAAAGGTTTAATTATCCAGGTCAATTAACTGATTGGGAAACTTCTGAGGAAGATCGTTTTATTGGATTTTATTCAAGAGTAAAAGGGGCTGAATATAGTTTTTAAGACAAGTTTTTGTTTGGTGAAGAATCACTATTATTTTAATTCCACTTCAAAATTATGTTACATTTTGTTGCTCCATTACATTAAATCCCAATACAAAGTGTGAAGTTTGATTTTTCAAGTGAAAAAAGGTGAAAATCTCAAAGGATATGAACAGTTTCATTAGATATGATTCAAAAACTACACATGATAATTGTGAAAAGGCTGTTTCACAAGCTCACATAAACACAACATCCCCTGCGTTTTAAATGGTACATTCTTAGTCTTTTGGTAAAAAATGTTGGTTCAATAACGTCATAAATGAAAACAATTGAAAAATGGAAAACATTTATGCAAGCAGCAATCACAAGTTATAGACATGCTGAAATGCTGATATTATCATTTAGCTGGAAGTTTTATTGAGTTTGTTGAAAGCGTTTGCAGAACGACCACAGAGCTGCAGACAATTTTTTTTTTTTTTCATAAAACCAGTACTGTTGCAGCAAATCTGTTCTGTACAAGATTCACTAAACACTAAACACTGTTTCTAAGTTGGGTCTCTGATGATAAACTTTGACCCCCTCATATATGACTTCCTCAGCCTTTGCAGCTGCTCGAGGTGTTTTATTCAGTGAAGATCCTGAATGTCTGGTTCGTTTAGGCCTCACATCCGCATACACCACTTCCTACAGCAAGCGTTAAAAAAAGTGTTGATTCAGAACAATTTCTCTCTAATCACAGCAGAATTATATAAAAAACAGACAAATTTTTGATTAAAAATTTAAATTTACCCCTGAGCTCACAGGGCCGCTGTAGTTCACACTCGCTTCATGACTTGATGCATCTAAAAAACATAAAAGCCTCTTTAGAGGAAGTGGAAACCCCCCCCCCCAAATAAAGCAGTTGAATGCTGTTCAGAAATGGAGTGATGAGAGATCGTTTGCTCTCACCTATGTGGACTTCAAGTCTGCGAGCCGCTTTATGTCTACAAGAGGAAACGTAAAGAGCCACGATTAGATTTCTGAAATTGTTTGACTTCAAGTTTGCATGATTCAAATAGACCAAAGTGGTTTTATTCCAGTTTATCTTGTAGATTTTTTTAAAGATACTTTTTAGAACCACTCATAGATCAGCAAAATGCCTCAAAATAAATACAATTTTAATTGCAGTAGGATAATTTCCCCACTTAGTGTTTTTTTCTTTTTTCATTTTTAGAAAAAAATTATACATTGTTGCCCTGTCTTTTAATACGCTTTATAACTCCATTTTTACAAGTAGGACAAGACTTCTATAACGTTTCACAAGTCGAAGCAAACAGATCTGTGACCAAGATTCAGTAGCATTAAATATGGACAAACTGTTTCATGTTTTCTTGCCAGAGCTACCTGATTTTTTTAAAATAGATTTTATTTTTCGTGGGGTTCATTACACAATGCTTTTTAATAAGGTTTGCCACACATTTGAAAGAGAAACTTTAGAGTTTTTTTTTTTACATTTTTTTTCTAAATTTATTATGTTTTCATATTTTGAGTATTGGCTCATTAATATAAAAAAACATCCAGGCTAACTGAGAAATAATTCTAAATATAAACATTTTGAGTCTGTTTGTTTGATGGGTTCTATGTTCTTTTTATCAGGGGCTCGGAGAAACTGGGCTCTGTGGATTGTCATATTTATTATCCAGGGAAAGCTAAATTAATGGATAACTAATTAAATCTCAGATTGAATTTTTTAAAAAGCATGATTTATATTCACTTTAAAAGAGCTGGGTCAAAATAATGTTGCTGTCCTTCGGTGCAATAACAATAAAAGTTTCTGATTCTGATGAGTCTGGAAACCATTAATCTAGTTTAAAGAAATCAGCTGATTATCACTGATTACCAAGGGAGGTTCTCCCAATGACTAACTATAACTAACAGGATGGTATTTTAAAGCATTTTAGTGTAAATATATGATACAGCAATAAATGATGTCTTTTTATGTTTTTTATTTTTTTAAACATATTTACCAGGAATGTCTGAACAGCACTGTATTTGTTAGAATTGATTTATTGTAAAATTAAAGTGTAAGTCTTTAATTTAAATTTTTCAAAATATATGTGACTACACAGAGTCATTCCACCCCAACAGGCCTACCTTCTGACATAGGTAATGTAAGCTGCAGCCGTCAGGATCCCCAAAAGCAGCACAGCAGAAATGATGATCGCACAAAGTTGCCCTGCAGACATCGGTGTCTGCTGCTCTTGATCTAGTACAGGCTCACCTAAAATATGTCAAATAAAAACTGTGTTAATAATGATCTGTTGAGCAATCAGATCATGTAAAAAATTAAATGCATAAAATCAAGAAGTTGAGTAGTTTCTCTAAGCTTATTTAAAATAGTTTATCATCTGATTAATGATTCTTTACTTACCAGTAACAACAACAAGTTCGATGGTTTCTTCATGTAATCCACTGGGGAATGCGGTTACAGTGCAGGTGTAATTCCCTGAATCTGTCATTTTCACATCTCTAATTTTCAGCGACTGTTCTGTAAAATTCACTCTTTCCATTAGGGGAGAATTTTTTATATCCATTCCAAGCCGGGGGTTGAAAAAAAGAATAATCATGGACTCAAATTCCCACTGAACAAGAGTAATGTTTCCTGATTCTGGGACAAACTGGCATTTCAAAATGACATCTTCACCAACATATCCAGTCACTTTGAGTGTTTCTGCCTGAAGATCTGTAAGAAAAAAAAAGTTAACATGCTGAAGAGTCGGATAGAGAGTAATTTGAATGAGATCGCATTTACCAGTTCATAATTATAGTGTTATTTTTATCACTTGATAAATTAAAATTTTATTTCTCAGAAAACAAAGTTATTTTTCTGTCAAGATGAACACTTCACAAAAACACTTCGGATGTTTCACTTCTGTCAAGGAACTTAAGAAATTTCCATATTAGTTTGAGCCATAACTCTTCAGGAGTCAACCTGAAGAGTTATGGCTCTTCAGTTCTGCATTGTAAAACATTTTACTCACATGTAGATGTCTGTTATTGAATACTCTATAATTCAAATAAATTTAGCGAGTTTTAGATGTTGAACCTAAATGTGTGAGTTTGAGAAAGATAAATTTACAGTAGTAAGTTGTGCTAACTTTTTATTAATTTAGTCAAACCTTCAAGAGTTGAATAAATTAGAGTTTTTAGGTTAGCACTTAAAAAAACTGAAAGAAGAAAAAGACAGGAGTGGGGACTACTTCTCATTGTGCTTAGCAGCATGTTTTTGTATCCTCAGATGGATACAAAACATTGATCTCACTCTTGCGTTATTAAGGCAAATGTTCATTTTAATGCACTTCTGAGTTTGCAAATCTTGAGGATAATGTCTTGTTCACACTAAATGTTTTTGAGCAGAATCATTGTAATGTTTGATAAAAGTTATCAGATCAGAAGTTTTTGTTCATTCAATTTGAAACAAGAATTTACATTGTCCTAAAGTAAAATAAGTAGTTATTTTAACTTGATATAGTGAGTAAAAATAATAGAGAAATGTGGCTTTTTAACTAGGTGAGAGCAGTTTTTTTTCTTGCATATTGTGAAATAATTATTTGGTTTAAATTTCAGCATTAAGTTAAACCTTACAATTCAAGATTAATAAACTTTAAAAACAATGTTTAAACAACTTGCCTCTAGCTGTTAACCAACTTCACGAACTTTAATTTCTGAGTTAAAACCAAAACAATTATGTTGTTGACTTAAATTGCATTTTCAAGGCAGCAGGTATACTTTCATTTTCAAGTTAAACCATTTTCAAATGTTTTAGTGTGGCACCAGAATTTTAAAATAAGAGTCTCACCTGGAAATGATGTGATGAAAATTAGATTTACAACATGAAGTATGTTGCAGGTTCTCATTGCGGCGACTGGAGATCATAAAACACAATTAGTAAAAATTTGTTTTAAATTTAATTGTCATTTTTAAATCAACTTTGGAGGAACTTACTGTTGATGCATGGAGCGGAGGCAGAAGTAATGTAAGAAGTGTAAAACCCTTTGAAGGCAGAGCAGTAAAAACCGACAAGAAGTGGAGCAAAAGCTAAACGCGACCATAAAGCAAAAGTTCCTACATCAGCTCTGCTAATCTACTGCCTCGTTGCCCTTGTTGAGCAAGACTATAAATACAATCAATGTGCTCTGACGCTGCTCAAAAATACTAATTTCTTTTGACCTAAGCATTGACAGTTTTAGGAATGAATTTACGATTTTCAAAAGTTTGACAAGATAATGACAATAAGAAATAAAAGAAAATGTCCCGAACTGATCTGACTGAATGCCTTATGTTTCTAAAGACGTTACATTACCCATGTCAAACGTGACTCCTGTCCTTGTGATCTTCATATAAACTTTCTCGATAAATCTCTTGAAATGCTGTGCATATTGCTTATGAGCTCTTTGTGTTTTGAATCCAGAATTGCTAAAGGAAAGATGTTTACCAGTAAGTAACACTTATACAGCACAGAGACCTACTTAATATTTGACCCAGATATAATCTCACATCTGTTTTTGTTCCCTTTTCACATGAAAGACGATGAAGAAATACATGATGATAGAAAGGTGAGACTTCCTGTAAATATTTAATTTACATATATAATTTTCTGGACAGTGGCTCTGTCTTTGCTTTCTTCTTGGTCATCAGGTTCTCAGCACTGTTGGACGTGCTTCGTCCGGATGAGGTTAACGCTTCCGAGTGGTTTCAGTGGTTGTGAAGATCTCAGTGTTGGATGTTAATGGTTTTTCCACACCTTTTGTCACAACTGTTGCTTCTTAAAGGTCATTTATTATTTGTTACTCGAAAAACAATCCCCTCTTAGATTAACTCATTACAGTACAATGAATCTCAATATATAAAAACTTTTACTAACCACAACTGCATGAAAACTGCTGGTGTTATTTTTAATTCACAGATGAGTGAATCCTGGCCATTATGGATAAATAAACCATTAAATATCAACAATATCTCACCAGTACAAGTTTTGCTATTTAACACACACACTCCTCAGATTTTTGTCAAGAAATACAAACTTTAAATCATGTCTCATTTTGTTGTATTTTTCAATCAGACACCATCTAAATAAATACCGATGTTTGTAATTGTAGCATAAAACTGGAAAAAGTTCAAGTGGTAGGAACACGTTGAACTGTATTGAGTTTCTTTGTAACCAACAAAAACACAGTTTTAAAATGAGGCACAGGGAGAAGGAAAATATGAAATGGGCGGCAAAACATTAAACAGATTTTATCTCAATATGTACTGAGTGTGTCAGGAAGTACAGCTCAGTTAGCAGTTTGAGTGAGGAAGTTAAAAATAGAATGACTGCAGGCTGAAGAATATGGGGAAGGAAAGTGGTTTCATTCAAACCTTAACTCAGTCTCATCATATCGATCTTTTTTAGAGAAGCTACTCAAATAGATGACATATAAACATCTCCTCCAATCAGAGTCCCACGTTCAGGAGCTCCCAGGTGTCCAATAGGCAATGAGGTCAGTGATCCATGCTGGTTTCATTTAACTCAATCCCAGCATGTAAAGATGAAGGTGAAAAAATATCAGGAATTACAGATAATAATAGAGTCGCAGCTCTACATCCAACGTTTTTCTATTAACAGAAAGACCTCAATGGATATTGTCCTGCTATGCTTATGACAGATTTTTACATAAAACAAGAGATGATTAGTGACAAACCTAAAAAGTAGAAAAAGAGAAAAGGAGTGCAAAAACTAAGATGATCTTTCCATCAGCAACGATCGTTGGAATATTTACACCCACAGAAAATCACAAACGTGAGAGTGGAATAGGGTAGGCAGTATTTCATTAAATTTAATTATTTAAAATGTTTTACAGAGTTAAACTGCTAATTATTAATAATTGGTGCATCAATGTGTCTTTAGCAGAAACTAAAAGTGCTAATTTCTTCAGCAAGTATATATTTCCAAAGAATTTCTGTGTTTCAGTTTTTTTTCTATCCAAAGTAAAATAATTAAAAACAACAGATATAAAAAGTAAAAAATAAAACAACATGTATATCTATTTAAATATAGATTGCACCTAGAAGTGCAAGACTTTTCATTTCACATCAGGTCTTTCTGAGCTTTCGGCAGAATCCAACGCTTCTTGTAGTTTTGTACTTTTCATTGGAGGTTTTCTTTATTAGCTGCATTTATCTGAGGGTTGAACAGGAAGAAAGTGCCATGTTAATAAATGCATGGTATAATTATAATTATAACAGAGTGACTCACCTGCTGTCTTACATTAACCCCTTCAGATTAATTACGCTGATGACCAAAGCTGAGAATGACCAACAGGGGGCAGTGCAGGATGCTGTGTATGATAGAGAGGTTTCAGTCAAAATGAAGCAGAAACGACATTCAATGACCATCTTACCTCTCAGATCCAGAACGGCAGAGTTTTCCTTCCTGGTCACCATGTTTCTGGCAGTGCAGGTGTAATTGCCAATGTTTTTAGCCTCTAGCTTCTCTATAACAAACATGGAGGTGTTGACATGCGTTTCATTCCCATTAAATGTCCAGCTGAAGTTTGCTGGAGGAACAGAAACTGCTGTGCACAGCAGTGTCACTCTGTGACCAGGCCAAGCTGCTGACGGCCCAATAACTGATATGTTATACGGTCCGTCTGCACAGAAAGATATTACACGTCGGGTCAAAGCCATAAAAAGCTGACCTGTGGTCAACAGCTGAAATAAATCTTGAGTTTTACAGTACTTACAGTTGACAGTGAGATGGAGAGCCGCAGTCTGGCTGCTGACTGGGTTGCTGACTCTACACTGGTAGTTGCCGTGGTTGGAGCTGAGGACGGGGCGTATGAACATGGTTCTGTTGTCCATCGACAAGCTGATGCTCTGCCCGAAATCAAGAGGACGGCCATCTTTCATCCACTCTCTGGTGATGACGGAGCCGGAGGCCTCGCAGGTGAGGCTGGTGGAGCTTTGGTTTTCTATCAGGACGGCTGCAGGGCTGCGGATGTTCGCTCCAGTTATCAGCTCTGGTGGTGAAAATTTCAGACAATAACTACAAGAGTTCAATAAAATATCCTGATAAATCTTTGCGATACCAAATTGATTAGGCCAAGAAATAGCAGATGTGATTGTCTGAATTTCAGACTGAATTGTTGATTTTTACTGTTCTGTAAAGTAAATGTTACATTATTTATAAGTTCATTAGTGTCAGAGTATGCATTTTATTTCAGTTTGACAATGTTTCTTCCACCACATATAAAAACATTCTTATGTCTATATATGTGAAGATATTTATGCAAAAAGGCACAATTAAAGCTGTTCAGCACGCAAATGATTGAAGGGAGATATTAATAAAGGATTTATGGTGAATTACAGCTGATTAGATGACTAGAATATGTTTAGTACCTGTTACAATGTATCCTGCTCCTTAAACTGATTTTAAACAAAGAAAAAATATAAAAATAAACATGAAGTCTATAGCTAAAATGACAACTATATATAAATATATAAATAAAATGAAAATGAACATTTTAATGAAAATAGAGAAACACACATTTGGTATAAACCACTAATTGATCAGCAAAATTATTGTGAATTTTTCAACAGGTGCTAAACATAACCAGAGAGTATATATATTGCAGCATTTTAAATATATTCTAAGAATTATACTATTTTATTTGGTGGTTTAATAAGTGAGAAATGTTCTTTCTACAAAAGAGTTTGAAGGTTTTTAGTTGCCTCTCAGAGTTGCCTTTTTTAAAAACTCAGTTTTATTTTAAAATGCATTAAATATCAAACTTTTAAGCCCAGTTTTGTGTTTTCTGAGATGTTTTATCCATCTGGTTATTTTATTTCACCTGAATCCACCATTATTCCTTTAGGAAACATTCATGTTCAGATGGATTTGTTCCTTATTTCCCCCCATAGTGTCTAAAGACCTACCGTACACATTGAGGGTGATCCTCCCCGTTCTCTGCAGCCCCCCGTCCGGTATGATGGTGAGTGTGTACTCCCCGCTGTCCTCCAGCACCAGGTTCCTGAGCTCCAGCGCTCCTGTGGCTCGATCTAATGAGATCCGGTTGGTGTGTCCCGGCTCTGTGATGTTGGTGCTGGTGGAAGTGATGATGTTCGCGCCTTTAAAGCTCCAGCTGACAGACAGAAATGGGCTCTGTGGGGGGCTGAGGCTGGTGGTGAACTTCACTCTGCCTCCTACGGCTCCACTCAGCGGTCCTGGGTTTAAAATATTCTCACCTGAGCACACTGCTTTTTAACCCCAAGAGGGAAGAAAAACGGTCAAAACATCAATAACCCTGCAAGTTCTGCCATACTGTTAATTGAAAATGGACATTTTATTTCTCCGTCTGTAAGAAAATAAACTAAATTTACCTGATAACAGGAGCATCACAGCAGCCCAGAAGCTCTTGTCCATGCTTTGAATGGATTTTTAAAATATTGCCAGAGTCCACCACAAAGTTTGAAATGCAGAGTTGAAGGTTCTCCTGCTCTTTTATTGTCCAACACACAACCAACTCCAGCCTCCCACTCACTAATGCAAAGAGCAAATAATGTTTACTCTGCTTGTGCACATACATCTAATTGCCTGTGGGTAAATGCAATCAAGAGTTACGTGCCTCTTCCTAAGGGGGTTTTCACGTAAAAGGGACTCGGCTACATTTGAAATGAAAGATGAGAATGGATCTCCTTTAGATAGATTATGATCTTTGACATCTGGTTTCTGTTTTCTAGTCATATGTTGAACTCAATACAACATAGAAAGGTCGAGTTTAAGTAAAACTAAAACATGTAAAGTTTCAAGAAGTTTAGGGAGTTTGGAGAATGTCCAGTTGTGCTTGTATGAATATGAATACATTTGCATTAAAATGTTACGTTTATGAAATTAAAGCTTTGGGATAAAACGTCATCTTATTAATTTATTGATAACTTCTTAAAATATCCATGGGTTTTTCAAGGGTTTGGCTTGATAATTCATTTTCACTGACCAGACTGTTTGCCTGTGTACATATTGATGAAACTTGCAGTTGTAAAAGCAGTTCAGACTCTGACTCATGTTGGTGACCATCGGTTTTTATGAGTGTTTCAAGCTTTTGAGGTTTCCTGTTTGGGAAGATGCAGTGATCCGTAGCAGAGGAGGATCAAAGACGGCCAGGAGACACTTTGGCTCCACCAGACAGCTTCCCAAACAGAAAGTTCCTTCAAAAGCTGAACAATAGATTCAGAAAAACAATCTCTCTCGCTCTCCTGGGTCCTGTGGTGCATTTCGTACCAACCATCCATTAAATTACACCCACCAGGAGGACTTTTCATAACAGCTTTGACAACCACTGGTTCAGGGTAATTTTCCATCATTTGCTCTTACGCTAGGGTAAGAAAATATGGTCATGTCACCCCAATAAATATCTGAGATCAGGAGTCGCTTAGAGTGTAGCAAAAAGCTTCAGGAAATAATACGCAGTTGAAATAAATTGCATGTGAGATTCTAGTTTGGTTTATTTTGAAATTCTGAGAGGTAAGTAGCAGAAGAAGGATGATTTGGTAAAGCACTGATCTGGAGTCAGCTGGACCAGAAATCTATAAAAATCAGAACCAAGAGAAAACATCAACGCTTTGAATACAAAATGAAGGTTCAGCCAGTAAAGAAAGAAAAGCAGTGAAATCCTACAAAACTGTCATTTTCCTTGAATCAGGACGTCTGCATCCAGGATTATCGCCTCCACCGCTTCACCAGGTGGCATCACAAACCTCAACTTCTCATGTATAATCTTCTTTGAGGTGTTGGCACAATCTCAAAAACTGACTTCCATGAAGATGTTACATTATTGAGGTGCAGCGAATCAGCAGAAAGGAAAATAAATTGACTGAAGTGCTGCAATCTGTATTCTTGCTGCATATGATGCTTTCACATAGCTCAAACTAAAATATTTTAATTGTTTAATATTACAGCATAATCTTTTTATATGTTTTGATAATTTACCAACACAACAGAACAAATACATTTTACACTTTAAAGAAAAAGCACAGCTCATACGGCAGAGGGAGCAGTGATCAGGAAGCACCCGTCTAGCAGAGTGGATGTTTTTTATCCCCCCCAACTGTTTTTCCAGGAAACACATCAAATGTGAAAGCAAATAGCTCTCCACCTGCTATTTTATGGCCACTTTAATCTGTACTCACAGTTACAGTGGTGTTTTTTTTTTAGGTTCTGTGAATTTGAAAACAGTACATTAAGGCCCTGCTACCAAGTAGTGTTTTACTGTGGAAGACACATTTAAGATACTCCTTTTAATAGAACGAATAAAACATAAATATCACAAAACACATCTGTGCAAAATGTTGTTTGTAAAGCCTATGTAACAGATTTGCATATACCAACAGTATGTGGATATGTTTCATTATTAAGTTTACCTTTTCTGTCTAAAAACAAACACAAATTTGTTGAAATAATGGTGCAACATCCAGCTGTTATGTAGTTAGCTTTTGAGGCGTCACAGTCTGGGAAATCTGAATGATTATTATGGAATGGATTATTATTATTTTTGTTAAACTTACTTAAACACATCAGATTCCAGAGACATTTTCTTTAAACCGTTTCCGCCTGTGACAGTTAACTTGTGACTCACTGTTTCTCGGTTTCTCGGTGTACGTCTCGCTGCCAGCGCCTCGACTCGACTGGATGACACGCGCCGCTTCGTGACTGTTGGTTGGTTTTCCATTAAAGAGCCAAGTGAACCTTGCTGAAGGCGCAGACATTGTGGAGCAGCAGAGCATCGTGAAATCTCCTGTGTGCACTGAGGCAGGTCCTTTAATGGTTGAGCTGTCAGGTCCATCTGGAGCGCACTTTATGTCAGAGCAGTCAGAGTGTTGGAAATAATCTGGTTTGGCAGCAGTTGTTATAGATTTAGGTTATTTTGCAAATAACACTCCTCAGTTTGAGTGGTGTGTGTAATTTAAATGGCAGCCTATAAGGGTCAAATACAATGCTAGAAAAAAATTCAATTTAAAAACATGTAAAAACAACATATAGATAAAAAAATGTATACTTACAGATCACTTACGATATTACTGACATCATATTTAAACCAGCACTTTAGATAACCGGGTCTCTCTGGTCATATTGGGTCACAGTTAACATAATGAGGCTGGATCGTCCATCAGTGATTTGAAATCTGGCTGTAACTTCAGAACCGCTTTTGATCCAAAAGAAAGACGAAGCAGAACAGGAGCAGGACAGACTGATGGAGCCGCTTCAAATTATTTATTAGAAATTGTGTATTTTTTTTTATTTAGTGAGAAGTTTTACCTTGGAGTCTTGAGGTCAAAAGGTTTATCAGAAATAGATTTTTGCTCATCCTCAGACAAAAATTTGTTTATTAACTAAAAAATGGAGGTGAAGTTGAACCGATGTTTCCCCTCAAATGCTGTTTTTTTTTTTGGTAACAGGTTTTACAACCCAATCACAAACTTAACTGTTAATTTAGATCCAGCAAAGAGAAGGAGTTTTAAAACAAATACAAATAAAATATGTGGATTTGATTTGCAATCTGTGAATTAAATAAAAAAAATTATTTTTGTCTTTGCCACTTTAGAAGTTGCTGAATATTTTCGCCAACTGGAAAATAAATAGTATCTTATAACTCTTCTCACATATATAGATTTATCTTTTCAACAATTCACATCATCTCTCTGCATTAACCTCCTGCATGTGTTTAATTGTGCAGTTCATCTTGCATGTGTTTATTTCAGAAGCAGCCACGTGGCGCAGCCACACATCAAAGCTGCTCGTGCTGCTGGAAGCATAATAAACACCCAACAAACTGGGTTTACGTCTTATTGCATCAGATTTGGAAAAACTCCAGCTGGGACTGTGTAGACCAACTTTTTTCAGATTTACAGTCTGATCAGATCAAATGAATTAAAACGCTGCTGTAACGAGAATGATTATTATAAATGAGGTTTCTTTGTAAATCTTTACTTTTCAAACTTATATTTTTAGTTCTGTTGCTGTTACTTTCAGAAATCTAAAGGGAAATTAACCTTGAAACAGTAAAATGCACTGAAATATTTTATCAGTGACGTACATTTACCAAACAGTTATTAATAGTTTCATTCTTTCAGGAACAAATGACTCAGTTCTCTTTTTGCTTAATAACTAAATTATATTTAATTCTCAGTTCAATATTTCAGAAGTGTTCACTTGGCTTTTGTTTATAAAATCAACAAAACAACAATATTCAAACTCACACTCCAGATAACAGACTATCCACATTATTAGAGGATCATGAAAAGCAAATGATAAATAGCTAAATAAATAAATAAACACAACCACCAGTTGCCAACAAAAGTGCTTGAAAAAGTAATCAATTATTTGCTGCTTGACTGACTTTAATCATTTTTGTGCAATTAAAAGATAAGCGAGTAGGGAGTGTATTACTCCAACTGCTGTGTTACAGTATTATCTATATAAAAACATATGTAACTCCACCAGAGATGGTTAATGGGTAAGGTGTTGTAATAAACTGTATAATTTTATCTAGCTCAAAATCTAAAACTGCAAAATCCAGAGCTTGAACATTCATCAAGAAACAGACGTTCCATAAAGTCCATGAAAACATTATCTTAATTATGAGAAAAACAAATGAACATCTATCCTCCACTCCCACACACACCTGGCATCTTTTCAAACTTCTGTCGAGCGTGGAAAAGTGTCTAATTGAGCGTCATGCGGATTTTAGCCACTAGAGGGAGATGATTTGATGCTTTTGGATACTCAACCAAAGCCCCCATGTTTTCATGTAAAAGCTCTGAATATAAGCAATCTGCACTCCTATGAGCGACTATTAATACTATTAATATATATAGAACTGAATAGACAGCTCAGAAAAACTGATGGTCACCCCATCACCAACATGAGCCAGGGTATTGTTGGGTATTGTTATCAGACTTAATTGAGAGTTATTAAAGTTGTATGAAATGTGTTTATTGTTGCAGATTTTAAACACAATACTTTATCTATTTATAGACATTATTGGCAGATTTTTTTATGGTATGTAAATTTTATTTGTCTTTGTTAATCTATTAAACACAACAGAAAAAACTAAAAGAAAAAACAAACAGTAAACATATAATAAAAAAAAGCTGTCAATTAAAATGTAAGACAATCAAAGTCTTTCCCCTTCCTCCAACTGGTTGTGTAGTTTCATTATTCTTTTTATGATAACCTGCAGAACAAAGGAAAGTATGAAGGAAAAAAAATGTAATACAATGGTTAACATTATAATGCATGTTATCATTACAAATTGATTGCTTAACAAAAATTAACTAACCTTTTAAAGCAGAAAGCTGATTTTATATTGCATCTTCATAAATCTGTGACATTGTCTCGTACACATGTTCATGTTCTGAGGAAAATAAAAACCACTTTTTAATCATTCAGTTTTTTAATCTTTTTAAAACATTTCACTGTAGGAAAAAAACTTTTTCAAAGTGGTGAATAAACTATTAACAAATTAAATTTTTAAATGTTTAAAGGAAAAATAACCGTGAAAACAAAAACCTGTTTATTACATTGATATGAAACAATCTAGTGAAATATTTTCTTCAATCTGTGATCAATATTGGAAGATGACTGAGCACCCAGATATGTTTTTAGTAGCAAATTTTAAAGGCATAATGTTTAACTAAAATGCTTTGAATTTTATATTTCAGAAGTTTGAGTTTTTTCAGTACTCATTTCTGTTTATGAACATTTCAGGCAATGTGCCCTGAACATCTCAAAATTTCACACCTCTTTCCTGTAATGTTATGCGGCACATAGAACCAACACAATGGACCTGACCCAAACACATAAAGGCCAACATGCACCACACATGTGATGGTCAGTTCCTGACCTACACAGATATGTGAGCACGATGTGCATGGCACACAAAAACAACGCATCTGACCCACACAAGGCCCCAATGAACACAATATTATGCACACACACACACAGACATATATCTACAGCCTATTTCTTACAGCTTACAGTAAATAATGAAAAAGGAAAACAAAGCCTACCTGTTTGACGTGAACTCTCAAACCGCCGGTTCCCAGGCTCAGGTCTTCTGTCTGTGACAGCTAGAGGATGAGAAAGTAAAGTGGCTAGGAGTATGATTTATTTTATTTAAAACAGGGACAGCACACATTAACCACAAGAGGAGAGATTTATTGTATCAGGTTAAAGCTCTCAGCGCTGATTTCCACCTGCATTCCCCAAACCAGCTGCTTCATTTCTACTCGTTTCTGGCAAAAGTTTCGATGAGATCTAACTGTTTAAAATTCTGTTTACTTACTTTTAGCTAGCATCATCGCACAGTCACATTTATCTTATGGAAAAAGCACCAGCCACAAAATAAACAAACGTAAACTAACCAATTACATTTTTGAAATTGGTTAGTTGGTTAAGATGAGAGAGAGCTCCTTCAGCTTTGAAAGGGTGGACTGCTACGTGATGAAGAGGACAGGAGTACCTCAAGAATGAGATGAAAATCGAAAATGAAAGAGAGAGTGAGGGAGTTTGTAGGTGATGCCACCTACAGGACATCATTGGAAGACATTTCACTAAAAAATACCACCACATCTGACCAACATTAAAACAACCGCATTTCTAAAGTGCATTATACACATGGCGCACAAAATCTGCACAATACACCTGACACTCACAAATACAGGCCACATGCACCGTGCACCTGACACTCTGGGCTTTCTTCCCTTCACTTGGATTCCTCTGGTATAATTTCCATCAGGCCAATCAACGAACAGAAGGAGAAGTTGTGAACAATGATGTCTGTCTCTGCGCTGTTTAAGAATTGTAGTCAACCTGCAGTTTTAGCAAAGGCAGCGGTGGAAGTGAACCTTTCAGTCTGTGTTGGTCATGCTTCCAAATATTGAATTAACATTACTGCCATCTCATTTGGCTCGGTAGTTCTCTCTTCGCAGTGGAGGATGGATGTGGAGACAATTTCTGGGAAGCTTCATAGCGTCAAAGTGGCTCATTACATACATCCCTGGTACATGTCAGCGATTGAGTAAAATTAAAGCCTCAACAGAGTCTATGCCTCCAGGAAGCAATCGATTCTCAACAGCCATGAGCCCGGATCTTATGTAAGAAGTAAAGCGTAGAACAAGGGGCTGGTAGCATGGCACACTTTACAGGCAGGTCCTGGCGTCCACACATGATGCACACAAGTAATGCATCTGACCCACACAAGACCCAATGAACACAATGAGATGCAGGCAAATGCATTTACATGTCTACATAATCTATTTAATACAACTTATAATGACTAATAAAAAGGAAAACAAAGCCTACCCATTTGATGTGAGCGTCCCCCTTGCCAGTTCCTGGGCTCAGGTCTGCTGTCTGTGACATCTAGAGAAGGAGGAAGTGAAGTGACAACATTTGCTTCAATTCTACTCGCTTAGACAAATGTTTCAATGAGAAAACTGTTTGAAAGTTTGTTTAATTATTTTTAGCTAGTTTCACTCTCACATTTAGCTTATGAAAAACCACCAGGTGCTAAATAAACAGAAGTAAACAAGGAGCTTATTGACAAGCTCCTTGTCTCTTGAAGGATTAGACTGCTGTGTGATGAAGGAGACATCACTAGTTCAGGAGTAAAGAAGTGTTTGTGAGCGTGACAGACTGATGAAGTGTGTTTGAGGCCAGGGATGCCTGCAGGATGTTACTGGATGGCATTCAGAAAAAAACACCATCACATCTGACCAACAAGAAAACAACCACATCCCAAAGTGCATCATAGACCAGCACAATGGACCCGACACACACAAATACAGGATACATGCACCGCACAGCTGACAGGCAGTTCCTGACCTGTGCCATGATGTGCATGTTACACAAAAACAATACATCTGAAACACACAAGATCCAACAGGCACACACACTTCAATATATGTTTACATTTCCTATTTCTTACAGTTTATGCTGAATAATAAAAAAGAAAAACAAAGCCTACCCATTTGATGTGAATGCTGCTGCCGCTGCTGATTCTGAGGCTCAGGTTTTTTATCTGTGACATCCAGAGGAGCAAACGGTGAAGTTACTACATTTTGCTATGTTCTGGCAAACTTTTCATCCAAATGTAACCATTTAAAAGTCTCTTTGCTCATTTTTAGCTAGCTTCACTGCACAGTCACATTTAGCTTATGGAAACAACACCAACTGCTAAATAAACTAAGATAAATTAACAAATTACATTTTTGTTTAGGATGTACGCCCACCGCCACTGACACACAGATAAAATACGATGTTTTTACCCAGATTTGTTTTAATAATAAAGAGGACAGAGGATAGGAAAGACAAATAGTTATAATTATAATAAAAAGCCTGACACACACAAATACATTCTACATTCACCGCACAGCTGACAGGCAGATCCAGTGCGAGTGCAATGATATAAATGACACCTATATGTCATTTTTAATTTGAATTTAAATCAAGTTGTAGCACTCTGTTTACAGTAAGTGATGTGATTTACTTTTCATCCCATTTTTTAAAAGTTGTGTGATATTATAGACAAAGTATTCATACTTACCTTTTCGAGGTTTGGGTCTGACAGTTTTTCTAAATGTTGGAAAGAAAATAAGAGTGAGGAATAATTTAAGTTGGATGATTGCTATTTGTCTGTGTGTATGATTAGGAAAAAAAGCAGAGCGTAACATCAAAACACTCACTTTCTTCTATAAAGAAAATAGATTACAACAGCAACAACTACAGCCAAAACTAGTAGACATGCGATCACAATTCCAGCAATGGCTCCGGCTGACAGACCTCCAGACGCTACATGATCCAATAGAAAAGAGACAAAAAAGAGTCCACCATGTAAAACCATCGACATTTTCATGAACAGACTTTTACAAACATTAGTTTTTGTAAAATGTTTAAGGATCTAACTCCTTTTTCTTAAGTCAGAACTTTAAATTTTAATACAACAATTATAAAACATTGAGTTAGAAGTCAGTAAACTAAATACTTGATTTATTAGATGAATATAATCAACTTGCAGACCTTTTCTAAATACTCACCCACTACTACAGAGATGAAAGAAAGCTGAGATGTTTGATAAATCTGAGTTTTTTTATTGAAGGCCCGGCAGCTGTAGTTTCCTGTGTGATTTACTTTAACATTGATCAATCTGAGTTGTGGTCCAGAATTAGACATCAAGTGTTCATTAATAAACCACTGAAACTCTGCAGGAGGATTGGAATCAGCAGAGCAGCTCAACGTGATGTCTGAGCCTTCCTTATAGTTTTCTTGAGATGGAACGACGGTCAGTTCGACGAGTTCTGGTCCATCTGTGATGTTTGAAATAAGTGATGAAAAATAAAGCTTTACAATAAAGGTGCACAAAGCAAAATAAAGCCTAGATGAAGCGTTAAACATACATGCATAGTTGTAAATGGCCGTGATAAAAACTTACAAAAAATGGAGATGTTAACTGGATCACTGAATTCCTCACTGAAGAAGTTGAACGCATGACACCTGAGTAGGTTTAGATCAGGCCGGGACACGTTGGCGATCGTCAGCGTGGATCCTCCACCAGTGATCTGAACTCTGTCGCTGGCCGTCACCTCAGAACCGTTGTTCATCCAGAAGTAATGAGGAGAAAACCCAGATGCAGAGCAGGAGAGACGGACAGAGCTTTTAAACTCAACCAGGTCTGTGGGATCTGATGTCACCTCAACACCGGAGACGCGTGCTGTGGGTCAAAACAGGAAAATAATGTTTAACGTCACTGTTATGCAACTGACCTAAAGCAGAAAAACGATTGACTGTATTTATAGTCTTGCAGTGATTTATTTTCTTTCTTTTTCTTTTTAGCATTTATGGAATATCTTGTTTCTATGGATGTATGTTAAATATACTTAATACTGTTTGAATGAATTATGGAAAAAACTAATTTTCATCCAAAAGTGAGCTTTAGAAGAGAAATGTAAATCTTTTTCTTGTTTTGAAGTTTGGAGTGGAATGACACCAATTTGAAATATTTATCTATAGAGCATGTTTCAGCAACAGGGCAATTCCAAGTGTTTTATAAGATGAAAACATGAAACAACAAATAAGCAACAAATATGTTGCAGTGGCAGAATAAAGGAAACAGAATAATTTGGATTACAGATTAAAGATGGTAAAGTTTTATCTCGATCAGCTCTGAAAATATAAAGTCTGAAGGTTAGTTTTTTAAGGGTGGAGTGCTGCTAATTTATCTATTACTTCCTCTAATCATTTAGATTGTTTTAGCAAATTAATAACTACTTTTATTTTGGTGTGATTTATAACTTTTACTTGATAGAGAATAGAGAATTGATAGAGAAAAAACAGTTCCCTTAAAATTAAATGTTGAAGTTTGGTCCAATGCTTTGAATGCAGTCATGATATGCACTTCCTGTTTTACGGTATTTACTAAATGTATTTTTTAACACTACCTTTGGTTATATTTCAGAAACTTGAAATAGGGAAGTTACATCAAGGCAGCACAGAAACTCTAGAAATAATCAACACATCAGTATTTATTGAAAATACATTTTGAAAGTGGAGCACAGAAGACAATGTTTTTGGGCTTACTGAGATTTCTACATTCTCACATTGTAGCATTTTTTAGATAAAAAACCCCACATTTTTCTCTTCACCTTTAAAAAGGCCCTTTATGGATGCTCACCTTGAATTTGTTGGATATTTTTGAAATACTAATTCATTAAGATCTTTAAAGACTTACCATTTACGGAGACAACTATAGGTTGAGATATTAGATCTTTCTCAGTTTTCCTGTTGAAGGCTTGACAGCTGTAGTTTCCATCTGCATTTGTCTGAATGTTGCTCAGTCTGAGGTCTGGTTTAGTGTTAGACAGAGGATCTTCATTCAGAAACCACTGAAACTCAGGAGAAGGTCTGGACTGAACTGAACAGGTCAGAAGGACGTTTGATCCTTCGTGGTGCGGTCCTGATGGAGAGACCTTCAGTGCTATGTGCTCTGGCCCGTCTGCACAGAAAACCCCAAATAAAAGGGACATCAGCTTGTGGAAAAAGATAAAAAGAAACTTTTTCATTATTCTGGCTGCTGCTCCTTTTAGTGTTTGCAACAAATGACTCTTGGCTTTAAACTCTTCTTGTCCTTAGCATCCTTTTATGTGACACCTTTTATATGGTTTTGCATTAAATCCCCAACTTACTGAAAACCAAGACTTTAAAAAACATCCAGTATAAAGAAATTGATACTTTAAAAAAAAAATGCAACAATTAATCTAACTTAGATGAACATGAGGATTTAAACTCACAGTTAATCAAGACTTCTGCTGGTTCACTGATGTCATAACTCACAGAGTTAGACACATTGCACCTGTAGGATCCATGGTCGTTTCGGGTCACATTGTTGAAAAACAAACTGGTTCCTGTACCAACGATCTCAGGGCTGTCAGCGCTGCCTTTCAACCACTCAATTTCGGTAGCATTACCAGTGAAGGAGCATTCCAAACGCAAGGAACCACTCAACTCATTTAACTCCACTCTCTGGGGTTTTACTCCTAGCACCTGCACTGGCCCTGTGAAGGAAAAAAACATAAAAATATTCATTGGTTGCCAAGATTTCATCAAGGACACAATAAGCAGCAACAAGCAATTTGGATTTCTAACAATATATTTAAAATGACAGTTTACCCTTTGCAGTACTTTTGAAACTATTGCTTTGTTTACTTAAATTAAAAGCATAACCATATGACTTTTAAACTCTGACCCAAATCTGTCTTTGCCAAGATAAAAACTGAAGGAGGATGAAGAGGAGAGAAAAGGGAAGAGGAAATGTTCAGGTGGAATCATGAATTATTTAGAAATAAACATGACATTCAGGAATTATTTCCATGACCATTAATTTATGGTTTGAGGTTTTAATAATGAAATGTTAAGATTTGCTATTGGATTTCAGAATCTAAGATTTCATAAAGATTTTCTAAGAGTCTCCTCTCCACCAAAGCTTCATAATTACGAACTGTGTTGGAATCAGATTTGTTGTAAAAGTCACAATACCTTCATCTGATGCACTGAGAAAATCTGTGAACTCGTAATCCTCTTCAGACAAACCTGCAGCAGATGGTTTTTGGTTAATTAAAACATTTTTATCAAGCATTGAAAACTGTTCTTCACGTTACAGTGTTATTCGTTGTTTATTTTCTGGCTTCAGTATATTGTGCTGATCCAAATGAAAATATGTTTCTGTTGGAGTTGTTTCTCTTTCATACTGTCTTCAAAAGCAATAAAGAATACAGATTACATAAAAAAGCAATACATATATTTCAGTAGTGCTGATTATAGCTGAATAATAAATAACATTTGACTAAATATAAAAAAAAAAATCCGTTTTTTTCTAATGATGTAAGTTGATTCGGTCTTCACAAATATTCTGAAATTGTTCAAAATTGAGCTCAAATATAGAAAATATCACAGATTTCACTGTATCGTTAATTTTTAGATGTAAACGAAGCCAATGCAAAAAGGAAACTTTAACCCTACAGAAATCAAAACTGGCTATGCAAAATCATTGAATTTAGCATACTGTTTGACATTTTAACATGAAGTTTTCCATTCTTTGTTTCTTTTCCACAAATAAGGAATGAAAAGGAGAAATTTAAACCTGATGGTGTTTTTATTTACTGTATATGAAATAATAGATTAAACAACTTGTTTCCGTAATAAGAAAATGCTGATCTGTGCTTATTTTAAGACCAATGCAGTCATTGTTGCATTAACAGTGAAAATATCTTCATGCTGTGGATCAAGAGGTAAAAGCTCACCTGAGACGGCTCCAAGGAGAACAAAAAATGTGATGATTGTTTTCATTTCTTTCTTTTAGTATAAAACAGGAGTAAGAATCTGTTTCACTCCTCAGACTCTTGTTGTCCTCAATCAAGTATTGACAAGAATGAACAAGGAAGTTGAATTGCTTATCTCTCTCCGATTCATTTGTTAAACATTAACACTATTTTGTGTTTATTTCACCGTGGCCTGACAGTAAGCAAGTTATACAAATCAAACTACATAGATATTACTGAAATTATGTAGTAGAGCAATGTAGTTACATTTTTTCTTGAAAACATATGCCCATTATTGTTGATTATATTTAAGATGTATGTATGACAAAATGAAAAGTGTTTATTACCATATATATGACTTCAGAGTGCAACTCCGGCACCCTTCCTGTAACTTTTTGGGACTTTCGACTCATCAATCACAGGTTTGTCAAACGGTAAAATACTTTCAAGTAATAAAAAGCTGGTAGTAAAGTAATAAACGAGAAATTCTAACAATAGTAGGAAGACTGACCAACATTTACCGTAAAGTAGATAAGAATTACTGCTAGAAGTAAAATAAACCTTTTCTGTTCTCATAATGAACTTAGCCCAGTATCATGATTCATAATTTTTATTTCTAAGTATCCTGGCAGTATGCCAGCAGAATAGAATAAAAGTAGAATAAAAACTTTTATTGTGATTATACACAAGCTCAGTTGCAAGGATAACCAAATAAGGAAGCTTACATTTAAAGTGCGGTTTGCTCCTAGTATAATTAAAAATAACAGAATAAAAAATACTGAGAAAGTAAGAGGTAAATATTTTTATAAAAAATAACATATAAAATTTGTTGCACATGGAAAGATTTTACATGTGAAAATTCATTGTTGTTGTGTTGTAAGATTTCACATAGATGGGATCAGTTTTGTCTTTAATGATGCACTTTGATCTGAGAGGCAGTGAAAAGAATAAATGTCTTTAAAAGAGGGGAGAGGGCAGCATTTACCCTGATGCTGGGAAGCCAAAAACACATTTGAAGGACATCAGTTCTCTAGAAAATAAAATTAATGTGCAGAATGCTTTTATGATCTGACTTAATGTGAGCAACATTTTAACTAAGCATACAGAAACAAAATATGCATCATATTCCAATGTGATACTCAGAATTTCCAACAATTAGCAACAATTTACTTTTTTGTTTTATGATACTTGAAATGAATAGTTAAGATTATTTGTAAAGCACTTTTAACAGACATGAAATCACAAAATTCAAAGCATAAAACAAACACAAGAAACAATAAAATCATGACATCAAGGTCTGGGAAATAAAGTTTTTATTTGCATTTTAAAAACCTCCACAGAATCAGCAAAATGGAGATGCAAGAGCAAACTGTTCCAGAGCCTGGGGGGCCGCCGACTGAAAGGTCTGATCCCCTTTAGCTTTTAGCCATTTATGTGGAATGACTAATGTTAGCCAAAAAGAGTGAGAAAGAAAAGAGAAATGCACAAAGAACATGTTTTATCACCATAAATCCTAAACTAATACATTATTTCACATCCTGAATTAAAAACTTATGAAGACAATATAAAGGTGGAAACTATGAGTGTAAACTTTAGAAACACACATATATACACCTGAACTCTTGTATCACATTATGTTTAACAACTTTAACATCTTCTTTCTTCCTTTATGGTTCTTAGGGTTCATGGTCTCTTAATTTTCTCAGATTTCTGACTTTCTGGAAAAAAAAAGAATCAGAAACTGATTATATGATTCTATGCTGCAATTAAACACACATAATTAACTGTGTAAGCATTTTTAAAAGCTAAAAATATTTTATAATAAATCATGACAAACAATAGTGTAATCATTCTTTAGGGAAAAAATGTTTGCATCCAACATGTTACAATTTTCACATGAAAGAATAAAAGATTAAATCTTACCTTTACTGGGAGACTGACTTTTTCATACTGATTGTTCTATTATATATGCCTGGCATTTCCTCATAGATATTTTCTTCTACAAAAAAAGAAGCATAGACACTTTATCATTCCTATGTTTGTGTATTTATTATAACTACAGCCAGAAAACACAACCTCTTTGAGTTAAATGGTTTTCTTCAGAGCCCAAACTATAAATCATTTGTACCAAAGGGCTCTGAAAATCCTACAGCTTTTAGAGGATTGTTATAAATTATTAATGTATGAAACCGGTGGGGTGGATATTGCACAATTTTTATTCTCACAGCTTATTATGTTCACATTTTATTTGTGTAGAGACAGAGGCGGGAGGCTTCAAGTCTTCCCACCAGTTAAAATAAATCAAGTGAAAATCTTATTCTCAATTTCATTTTATGCACAGGATGAAGAAATAGTTAGAAACTTACCACGTTTACCAGCATCAGGTGGTGCACTCACACTTTTTCTACATATTGGAGAAAATGTTAAAATGTAAGCAACCAAAAATACATCATAGTAGTTTCATTTTATTAGAGCAAATTTCTCAAAGTAGATTTTGTGTTTTCATGTTTTAGGCATAAGAGAACGAGGAATTAAAATGCATTGATACATATTTAATATTGATGCCTAAAAGAAAAAAAAATGTGGCTCGTTAGGTAACAGTAGATCTGAAAGTTGTAGGTTTGATTCCAGGTTTATGTTAATGTTAACCCCAAGCTGAGTATCAATCTGTGCATCAATGTATAAATCTGTGCTTCTATGTGAGTGAATGTGACTCTAGTGAGAAGCTCTTTGAGTGGTTAATATAAATGTGAAGACACTTACTTTCTTTTACACATAAAATAGCCTCCAACAGCTCCAGCAGCTCCAGCTGCAACTACCAAACATGCGATTACTATCCCAAAAATGGCGCCTCCAGAGAGACCTTCAGTTTCTTTAAAATGTGAAACAAAAGACATAAATGAGCAACTCAACAACAAAAAAGACATTTACAATCTCTCCAATATTGATACTGGACTCTATGTTAGTTAAAAAAGCATAATGAAAAGCTGGAAAATATATTAGTAATATTGTTATAGAATAAATCCTAAACAAATGCATATGTTTACAGAATTATGTCATGAAGGGTCTGCAGAATCAACAAGGATGATTAGATTCTTAAGCTTCTAAGAAGAAAACCAAAGTACCTAAGATTCTGTGAATAGTGTTTTAAGTTACCACCTGCCCCTGAGTACATTAGAATATAAAATAACATTTTATGAGCCATTAATTAAAATTATCTTATTGGTGGCTTTCTAATTATCATGGTTAGATAAAGACAAACATCTCATTTTTAACCACATGTAACCAACATGCAGTTTTTGAAAACCATGTCACATAAAAAATCTAATGATTTACACTTTCAGACTGTAGAGACTCATTTAAAATGCTGATTGATTTCTCTGTTACAACTATCGAATGTTGTTACATCAAAACTTTTGAAAAATGTTATATTTAAGATAATGAAATATAAACTCGATGGCATTTGGTTTACAGTGAGATGTAATAACCATCTAAGTATTGTTTTTCTATGATTATATTTATCCACAACCTTTAAATAGGTTGTAAATGTTTAACACCTAACAGTTAATGAAACAAACCTGTCTGTTGCACTTACTCACAACAGAGATGACAAAAGGATCAGAGATTTTGTGCACCAGTGTTTCGGTGTTAAGAGCCTGACAGCTGTAGTTCCCGTTCTCATTGAGCTGAATATCTGTCAGTCTGAGGTTTGGTCCCAAAACAAATAGCTGAGTTTCATTCAGAAACCACAGAAAATTGGCAGGAGGGTTGGATTCAGCTGAACAGAACATGTTGATATCTGAGCCTTCTTCATATTTTTCTTGATATGGAGACACAGTCAGTGAAATACTGTCTGGTCCATCTGCATACGCAAAAGAAAACAAGACCTTCTGAAATTATTGTCTTCAACAACACCACTGTAAAGCTGTTGCTTAGGTTTGGAGTATGGATGTGAAAACATCAAGAACATGTTAATCAGAGACTTACAGTAGATAGAGAGGTAAACTGGATTACTGCTATCGCGACTGAAATAATTGTAAACATGACAAGTCAGGAGCCCTTGATCGTATCTGGTCACATTGAATACTGTCAGAGTGGATCCTCCGTCAGTGATCTGAACTCTGTCCCCATTTGTAAGCTCAGAGCTGCCGTTCATCCAGAGGAAAGACGGAGAGAATCCAGATGCAGAGCAGAAGAGCTGGACAGAGCTGTTGAACTCAACCAGGTCTCTGGAGGACACTTTCACCACAACGTTTGAAATACGTGCTGTGGATAAAAACACAATAGTTTTACATACTGTTACTGAAAAAATAAAACTATATTAATGCAAACAACTAGAGCTAGTGGTGGTGATACGGTTTAGCTGTGATTGATAAAGTCGTAGCTAAATCATCTGTGTAAAACTACACAGTTTTCATCTGAAATGCCAAATAATCATCATAACAATGTCAATGTGTGTGACACCAGAATGCTAAAGGATCACTTGGATGGTAAATTTGGTGGACTATTAAATCCAAGGGTAATCTATTGAGAATGACAATAATACATTTGGTCATTTCAATTGATTTTCACACTGTCATTATTTTGCAAATAATGACACTTTAATGCAAATTTGGCACTTTTAATGGACTTTCAAGGCAACTTTTAGAGCAACTTTGCATTAAAAGTGTCATTATTTACTGAATGACATTTTATGACATCAGTCATAGACATTCATAAAGACTCTTTCATGTTCATGACGGGTGTTATGTCATGTTTATGACTGTGTCATGTCAGTCTTATGCACACCCGTCAAATAAAGTGTCACCATCTTTTATTGCCCCATAATAGTCAATTTTTATCGGATTGATATGGCTTTTAAGTTTTACATTTTATTTCACACTTATTAAAATAATGATAGAAAACAAGTATTGACCTTCCAACGTAGTATTTGCACAGAAGAGACATTTGATTAAAATAAGTCGTTCTACAGTAAAATTAAATATCCCCCCAAAAAAAAAATTAGAAGACCAAAAATACCAGATGCTGTTTGTAAATCATTATCTTGGGTACTTTATAGAGCAATGACATTGCAATATTATATCCTGAAAAAACTGAAATATATTTGGGGTGCAGATGGCAAATTAATGTCTGAATCCTATTAAAGTATAGTCAAATTCTGGTGTTTTTCAAGTAAACAAATTTGAATAATCTGATATATGTTTTTAAAATTAACTGTTTAAAATCTAAGTCAGATAAATTAAATTTTATTTGCTTGTGTCCAGGAGAGACTGTTTGGTTGTATTCAACAAAAAATATTTACAGATATCTGTTTATTCCTTTTCTTCTTATTTATACTTACCAATAACAGAGACAGGTGATGGCTGAGATTTCTGATATTTCAAAGTTTTTCTATTGGAGGCCTCACAGCTGTAGTTTCCCTGCTGGCTCATCTGAATGTCCATCAGTCTGAGTTCTGGTCCAGAACCAGGCAGCATGTCTCCATCCAGAAACCATGAGAACTCAGCAGGAGGTCTAGACTCAGCTGAACAGATCAGATTGATATTTGTTCCCTCTTCATGTTGTGCTTTTGATGGAGAGACAACTAACTGGATGTATTCTGGACCGTCTAAGGGAAAAAGAAACATCAAAACAAGTTAATGAAAAACTGTTGCTGAAAAATTTTTTTTCCACACTTTTATAGTAAGGTAAGAATTTATAACATTCTCTTGTCATTTATATTGTTATTTACTATGTCCTATAAAACTGATAAATACACAAACCAGTTACTTTATAAGGTACACCCGTTCAATAGCTTGCTCAGATGAATAAAACATTTGTCACCAATCACACGTCAGCAACTTTTAGCCTTCAGAAATCTGAAGATGACTTTACAAATTTGAAAATTAGCATCCAAATTGTTGATACAAACAACTTTTCCACGGTTGCTGGTGCCAGACAGACTGGTCCAAGTATTTCAGAAACTGGTTACTCTGGAGATTGCTCAAAAAATAGAAAATATCCAGAGAGTGGAAGCTATGCAGCTCAAACTCCCTTGTTGAGGTCAGAGGAGAAATGGGGACTAATTTGAGATGAAAGGCAGAAGCAGCTCATCATATTTTCCTCAGGGCTCACTGTACCACAATCAATCAGTAACAAGCAGATTGCCTCCAGGCCACACCACATTACTATAAGTCATAACCATCAAAATCACTGGAAATAGAGACTTTAAATATTTTACTCTATGTGTAAGGAATCGCTATGTTAAATTAGTTCACTTTCTGAAATAAGTGACAAACCTTTCACAATATTCTGCTTTATTATTTCTGAAATGCACACGTAAATGCTGTACCTAATAAATTTGATCGCATGTTCATGACAATTTTTCCAAGTCAGATGAGAGCACATGAAAACTTTTCTTAGCGGAAAATTCTATGTCAGTGTTTTGAAAACATTTTTCCAAAAAGTAAGATAAGAAGAATTGTAATGACTCACAGCTGACAGGAAAGATTTTTGGATTGCTTCAAGAGAGAAAATATAAGCAAACAAGAAAAAGAGACTTACAGCTGATAAAAAGGTTTGCTTGATTACTAACTCCAGAACTGGCAGGATTGGACACATGACAGCTGTATGATCCATCATCATATCTGGTCACATTGACTATAGTCAGCTTGGATCCTCCATCAGTATTAATGATCTGAACTCTGTCACTGTCTGTAACCTCAGAGCTGCTGTTCATCCAGAGGAAGGAGAGAGAAGATCCAGAGGAGGAGCAGGAGAAGCTGACAGACCCACTGAACTCAATCAAGTCTAAAATTTGTGGGCTTACTATTACATTAGATACTGGCTCTGTAAGGGACAATAAAAATGGTTCAGACAAATCACAATACAAACATTAAATGAAACAAATCATTAAACTAATTATGTTTTACATGAGAAATCATGCATTATAACTGAGAATGTCAAAATCTACAAAACAACTTTTGCTAAAGATTATATAATTATTTCAAGGCTTATTGATTTTAGCTACATTTCAACATTTCAGGCTATATACAGGATAAATCAAAAATATTCAAGAAAACTGTGTATTACATTTTTTATATCTAAAAGTATAATGTGCTAATGCTCTCAGTAATATGCACTTTTGCTTCTAACTGAACACTGTTACCGTATTTCCTGAGGAAATATGGTGAAGTGAAAGAGTTCTGGTAAAGGCTTATAAATGTTTATACTGTTTCATGTTGCATAAAATGAAATATCCCTAGTTTTTATGTTTTCAAGTAACTTTTGGTCATCAAACCAATCTTTAATCTCAGGTAGGCTACCCATTTCATTATGTACTAATTAGTTGAGATTAATATTTATCTCAATAAGAAAATTAATTAATAGTTTGTGGTCTACTTATTTCTTTCAAAGCTCTGATATTTATATACATTTCCACTAGTATTGACTTTGTTTATATTGAAATAACAGCCATTATATGCTCTAAAATTAAACAAACATTACAGATATTAAATGTTAAAAATAGCCACCTTAAACACCTTTAGAGAATCCAACAAATTTATTTGTTATTGGTTTAAACATCTGCTCACCATACACGTCCACTCTGGTGTTTCCTGTCATTGGCGGACCAGTAGCTGTTAAAATGTTAACTCTGTAATCTCCACTGTCATTTAAGTTGAGATTCCTGAGCTCCAGAGATCCAGTGGATCTGAAGAGAGTGATCCTGTCTTCATACTCTGGAGCAGTTACGTTCCCATCGGGCAGTGAGTTTATTATTGGGTTGGAATCAACAAAATTCCAGCTCACTGACCGAAATGGTTCTTCAGTTGAATTCAGGTTTGTTCTGAGCATCACACTCCCACCAACAGATGCATTCAAAGGACCGTCTGGTAGCACACCTGCTCCTTCAGACAGACCTGCAGGACACAGTTTTGGTTTGAAAATAAATTCCTTTTAAGTTTGTAAAATGAACCAAAAGCAGGAAAATTTCACCCAATGGTTGATAAAAATACAGTTAACCATTTGTAACTGTGTAAATAATTTGAAGTGTAATCATTTTGTGTCACCCTTAAAACCTTTAGATTCACATTGCATAAATATGTAAAAAAATAAAAATAAATAAAAAAAACTTTCTATAGCACAGATCTTTACACAATGTTTGTAAATATTTTATTTTATATATTAAAGAGTAAAAGCTCACCTGAAATGGTTCCGAGAATGATAAAATATATAGTGGCTGTTTTCATCTTACTTTGTGAAGTAACAAGACTAAAAAGTAAAGAGTGTTTTCCTCTTTGTATGCCAGCAAGTTAGACCTTTTTCAGAATAACTGTGGAGGAAGTAAAGCTGCTGAATGTCTTAGAGGGTAATAACTTGCAAATCAGTTACCCATTTTTAAGGAAACAGAAGGGTGCGTACTGCTGGAATGATGAGGTCAGACAGAAAATATTTCATTCCAAATGACATTTATTCCCTTAGGTTTGTGTCTAAATGCATGTCTATTACAAATCAAAGATCAACAAAGAGGAGAGGGAGAAAGAGAGAGAGAGAGAGAGAGAGAAACAGAACACACTGGGTTTATGTAGAGGAGGAAAATTGTTTAGGTGCCATCTCCCTGGCCACTGGATCCTCACAGATCAGTAACAAAATTACGTTTACACACACCATGTTACTGTCAGCAACATCCAGTTGTCCTTATGTTCCTACATATATTTACAGATTATTACGGTATCACACCTGTTCTTGTAAGATGTTGTGTAATTTTACTGTCTACTCCAACAAGTTGATTTGTCATGATGTTTTACTTCTTTGTGTATTATAGTAATTAAGAAAACTTTTAAATAATCTGATAAAATAGGATGAGATAAAAAAAAAATAGAAAGGATAGAAATTTTTAAAAATTTTCCACGAAAAAATTATTTAAGATGAATTTAACCAAATTTTATGCAAATGACAAATATGTATCTTTTCAATAAAGGTTTTGTGTATGAAAATTGATAGAATAAACAAATTTAAATGCATATAAAAAGTAAGATGACGTAAATTAGATAGACAAAAGACTCAACATATCCCTTCCTCTGGTTATGAAGTTTTACGTCTTGAAGATTTGCTGTATAGGAAGAAAAAACGATGGTCAGATCTGACTGTCAAAAAGAGTCATTATTAATTGTATGAAACAATCACTAATTGCTAGTTACCTTGAAGGAAAATGCTGATATTTGAGTTATGGCATATATTCCTGAAAAGAAACAAACAAAACATAAACTTTTTCCATTTGCTTATTCCCATACAATTTATAAAGAAAAACATATTCTGGTAATTCTCTCAGCATATTTTGCTTTAATATGAATTCAGGTTAACTTGAGGATGAAGCTATTAAAACTTGAAGAACTGTATATTTTATTGGTTGAAATATTTGTTCCAACATTAGTTCATGTACTCCAGCCATAATCATTATGTAGGATGGATGATCAACGCTGTATAAGATTACAAGAAAGGCACTTAGCACTTTTAAATCAGCTTTTTCCTGATATCTACACTGATACAACATTAAGTTGATATTGGAAACAATGCCATCATTTTTTAAAGGTTTGTTGGTTCTAGCAGGCAGACAGGAAAGAGTGAAAATGTGTGGCAAAGGTCATCGAGATGGGACTGAAATGTGTGGCAAGGCAAGGCAAGGCAAGGCAAG